CATCTGATTGACCTTTATTATTATTATGTATTTATTTTATTTTATTTTCGGTTGTTACAGACGGGACAGACATGACTGGAGGAAGAAAGAAACAATGAAAAAAAGAGAAGTAGAGAAAGAAAAAAGAGGGGAGAAGAGATAGTGAGAAAGGGGAGAAGAAAAAAAATCACCTGGATCACCTGTCAAGAGAAGCAAAAACAGAGGAGAAAACAAACAAAAAAGAGCAACTTAATAAACACAAAACCATCACAATAAACTAGCTAACAGTAAATAACAGTAGATACTAAATATTAAATGTTATTGTGCAGCACGCAAGATCGACAGCGCACAATGTGCTTCAAGGTAGCAGACAAGAAAGGTGTAGTTTGTGTCTGTGAACACCTGTGTGTACACCTGTGTACCCAAGAACCCAAGGAGGACCATTAACCATGCCGCCCTCCTGAGAAGAGCTGAGGAGAGCCCCAGACGAGGGGTGTTAGGTTTGTAGCATAAACCTATTTGCTGGAACGTTCAAGACAATTCTACTACACAGCAAAGCAAGACACAAGTCGGCAAAGTTTTTTGTATTGCTCGTGCACGAGGGAGAGACCTGTGACCTGCGTCGTTCCTTCGCTTGACCCCAGTTGCTCTCGTCTGCTCCCTCGTAACACTGCTCTTTATTGCGGTTACATGACTATGCATATGTTCATTAACCTATGATGTCTTACATAGACATACATGTGAACAAAGAATACCAGTCTGTGCATGGTGTAGGTATGTGTGTGTGTGCATGTGTGTGTGTCAAGATGTGACCCTGTGAATGACTCCCCCAAAGCTGGAGCCAGGAGTCCAGCGGTCCACCTAAACAACAGGCACTTATAGTTAAACAGATACAGAGTAGGTGTCCTCCCATAGCATAAATCAGTAAGAGAAGGTACAACCTCTCTCATGACCTTAAGATGTGTGTGTATGCCAGAGTGCTCTGGGAGGCACACAAAGTCTTTACAGACTGCTAAGGATCAGACCTCTATCATTATGCAATCGATTATAAAACTCTAAGCATATATGAGTACATATTTCTAAGCATAAATGACAATCCACAATATAAACCTAACAAGGGGTCACCCAGGAGCCACGGAGCAGAGGCCAGAGGGGGCTGCAGTGACTTGCCCACGAGCTCTGCTGGCAGCCAGCTGTGGCAGAGAGGACTGAGCCCCAGGCCCAGAGGCCAGAGGCCTGAGGGCCCCCCACCCTCTGGAAGGGGCCCAACCGGGTCACAGGCTCCAGGCCCTGCCAAGCGGCCACCAGGAGTGAGCTGGTACATACATGAGCGCCCAGCCCCAGACACCAAGAACCATCAACGCACCGATGTCTGAGGGTATCAGCCTGGGTGCGATATTACTGCAAAGTTTGAAATAGACATGCACTTGCAAGTGCTGCAGTAGAAATAAAGAATGACAGGGACTGGGTCCATACGTATAATGCACACAAATATAAACCTTGTACTACTTCTTTTAAATAGTTTGGAGTTTGAGATCTTTCCTAAAAACACAGATGGATAGAGCATAGGTCCTGTGATATGATAAAGTCTCTTGATGTATTGTAAGTTTTAACATTTGAAAATTTCTGTATTACAAAGTAAAAAGAGACTATAATAAAGTCACTGAAAAAATTATACTTCTCTATTTTTTCACCTTAACGTGGTCTTTGCGTGTTTTAGTGACCATAAAAGCTAGACCAGCAAAAGCTTAGCCTTCAGGTGGGACACCCAAGTTGGTCAGGTCTTAGGGTAAAAGCCTGACAAAGTGCAAACCAATTACATGACAAAAACAGTTATTCAGAGTAGGGCTGCCATAATTAGTTGACTAGTCACGATTACGTCGACTATCAAAATCGTCAACGACTAATTTAATAGTTGCCGCGTTGTTTGAAGCTTTGTAAGATCCTGAAAGACGCAGGAATAAGTAGCAAGTAAATCAGTAAAGCGAATAAATCGGTTTGACTGAGATTAAAGTTATCGTTTTCACACAGCTGAAAAAACGTCAAACAGAAAACTGATTAAACAGAAGTGTGAGATGGTAAAGAATTTACGCCAGTGTCCTG